TACACTGTGTGCATTACTAATTTGTACGTTAGTACAAAGTCAAGTCATACACTGTGTGCATTACTAATAAAAAATCTTACGTTACGGACGTTTTTTCCCGGTTAGGGTACCCCTCCGCATCGTCCCATAAGGAACTTCGTTCCAAAAATTACTGCTCAGAAAGAAAAATAATTTTGAATTTTCAAATGAATAAATGCAATGGATGTCTTTTATTTGCAGTGAATTAGGCGAATCAGAGGTACTTAATAAAATCTTCTCGACATTTTGAACAGCACTATTATTCTTGGTTCCATAATAATGTATTTCAAAAAATCCGATAAATCGAAAATCAACGACAATCATAAATTCGTTCTCAAGTGTACTTTTGTTGTAGGGCTTCTAGCTTTGTCTGGATCGGTACCCATTTCACGGATTTTCAAACCGCCTAGTGTGCGCACTTATTACTTTTATTTCAACAAACAAAGAAGAAATGGGGTGCTTTCAGAAATATAAGTCATGGCAGAGCGAATAGTGTATTTTAACCGATTTTTTTATTTTAAATAAGTGGATATTTCTGAGGATATTGTCGCAATTACTTTGTAGAAGTAACTGTCTCGTACGGATAAGTACTATAGTCCTGCGTATCCGCCGTGAAGCAGTGCGGTTTGAAGGGTCCCAGATGTCCTATCTGTAATATAATACAATTAGGACTTCGATTTCATGTCTCGAGATGGGTTGTGGAGTAGCATTCACGTTCTAATTTCTATAAATTACACTCAGTGCTGAACACTAGAGCGTCCAACAACCAAATTACCGAAAGGTGTAAAAAAAAATTAGTAGTATTAGTAGTAGTTAGTTAATTATTAGTAGTATTGTAGTTTTCTTCATTTTTAATCCTTAAATCAATTTTTTCTCTTGTAATAGAGAATGCTGTATATAAGAGAACCGATCTCTTCACCACATATATATATTTTAAATTATATTAAAAAAAAAAAAAAAAAAATATCCTTTAATAAAAATAAATTATAAGCTAGTCAACATGTTCCTGCCATCTATAGGAGCAATGAGAAACTAATAACAAGCCATCAAGTGGCTGACGCCCGTAAACAGAATGTGTTAAAGACAAACGACCTAGCTCGCTCTCTCCCTCTCTCTCAGGTCGAGTGGTTCGCGAGACGCTCTGTTTATTTTCTCACTCTCGTTCGTCCTAAATTGTATCTTTTCTCTCTAGCCGTAACTAATATGTCACGAGTTAAATTTTACTCTCAACGCGCCTAAAGAAGTTTCACTTCATCTATATCTATACTAATATTATAAAGAGGAAAGATTTGTTTGTTTGTTTGTTTCGAATAGGCTCCGAAACTACTGGACCGATTTGAAAAATTATTTTTCCATTAGAAGCCGACATTGTCCCTGATGAACATAGGCTACTTTTTTTAATTTTTTTTTTTTGGTTTCATATGTGTTTTAATGTTTCCGAAGCAAAGCGAGGGCGGGTCGCTAGTAAAATATAAAAAAAGCGAAATAGAAATTTTTGACAGCCGAATAGCCTGCGAATCGTGGCTCTGCGATAGCTAATCTTAATCAAATCTTAATCTCTTCAAATCTCTCTTAATCAAATACTTTTGGAGAGAATCACACGCCAATTCTTTGGGATCCATAACGAACATATTTCGTGCCTCTGCATAAATATTGTGATCATTTTGTCTTCCGCAAATTCCGATTTACGGCTAAGAGAGAATGGCCAACGAAAAAACATCTCAATTCCTTTGTCTCCATCGTGTTGCTGGATGAGGTGGGCAAGCTGCTGGAACGCATTCTGGCGGCCCACATCATTCAGCATCTGGTCAGGGTGGGACCCGATCTGTCGGCGGAGCAGTATGGCTTCCGAGAGGGCCGCTCAACAGTAGACGCGATCCTTCGCGTGCGGGCCCTCTCGGAGGAGGCCGTCTCCAGGGGTGGGGTGGCTTTGGCGGTGTCGCTCGACATCGCCAATGCATTTAACACCCTGCCCTGGTCCGTGATAGGGGGGGCGCTGGAACAACATGGAGTGCCTCCCTACCTCCGCCGGCTGGTGGTTTCCTACTTGGAGGACAGATCGGTCACGTGTACCGGACACGGTGGGATCCTGCACCGGTTCCCGGTCGTGCGCGGTGTTCCACAGGGGTCGGTGCTCGGCCCTCTTTTGTGGAATATCGGGTATGACTGGGTGCTAAGGGGTGCCCTCCTCCCGGGCCTGAGCGTAATCTGTTACGCAGACGACACGTTAGTCGTGGCCCGGGGGGNAAAAAAAAAAAAAAAAAAATCCTTTGTCTACAGAAATCTAATATCACAAATGTGTAATAACAAATATTTTCATTATTTCATAAAATATGTTTCGTTTATAAACTTATCGATTTATTCCTTACCGTTTGCATACGTTGAAGATGTGAAAACAACACCAAGGTAAATACATAATATGCAAAAGGGAGATTCTACCTTAAGTTCTTTACTTACGATACCATTTTGACATTTATCCTATTAATTCCCTTATATATCTTTAAAATATGTATATCGACGCTTGAAAGGCAAACGTAACTAAGCGACAATGCGTGAACTTTACAGTAGACTAATTTAAAGTTGAAATACCTGAAAATAAAATTTATTTTAACGAATCTAGCTGTAGTAGAATCTAGCTAGTAGCTGTAGGATTGAAATGATTTTATTAGACCTACAAATATATATTTTTTGCGCATCGAATACGGTTATTGCCTATCATTTATGTACAAAGCAGTTATTGTCGCTTAGTCGGGTTTGCCTTTCAATCGTCGATATGTAAATGGTAATAATAAATAATGCGGGTAGATGTGTATACACACTCTTTTGATCTGCGGCACGCTCGATATCAAATCGCTTTCGTAGTGTCTCAATCGATAAATAAAATACCTAAACTTTTGTATAAAATAAAACAAGCAAAAGGAATCCGTCCGACGGGGGACACATCAACGGGGAAAACAAAATTGTTATTTTTATTTAATTCCGAGCATTTTCATATTTATCTACCTTTTAAGCCTTCCCTGGACTTCCACAAATAATTCAAGACCAAAATTAGCCAAATCGGTTCAGCCGTTCTCGAGTTTTAGACTAACGAACAGCAATTCATTTTTAGATATATAGATATTCAATATTGAATATAACTAAAGCTCTCCATTAGTTGCTTATAAATAACGAATGACAAACAGAGATTATGAAAATTATATTTCACTGTTTTGCCCTTGCCTATGTATATTACATATGTATATATCTGAGACGACTTGTAGGTTCCTAACGTTTTGTGGGTCGCTCTACATTTGTTTTGAGGAACGAGTAAATGGTCCCTTGAGAGTTGGGCTTGGTGAAAGGCTCAGACATGTAGGTCGGAGACGAAGGGTTAAGCATAGTTTGTAATTACCCTAAAACGTCAGCTTTTACGTTAAGATAATCCACGTATTTGGAATTTGTTACATCAGAATTTCTTTTTTCGCAAATTCGTTAAACTGAATTAAATTTTATTATTAGTGTTGCGAGTATCGATATACGATCCTGCGTACTCATGCAACAAGCTCTATTTTTTTTTATTGCCTTTGTAGGCAGACGAGCATATGGCCCACCTGATGGTAAGTGGTCTCCGTCGCTCATGGACGTCAGCAATGCCAGAGGCAGAGCCAAGCCGCTGCCTCCACTCTATTTTTTTTAAACAAAATCTTGATAAATTGGACCGTAAGTTAGTCCACTTTTTTTTTTTATTGCTTAGATGGGTGGACGAGCTCACAGCCCACCTGGTATTAAGTGGTTACTGGAGCCCATAGACATCTACAATGTAAATGCGCCACCCACCTTGAGATATAAGTTCTAAGGTCTCAGTATAGTTACAACGGCTACCCCACCCTTCAAACCGAAACGCATTACTGCTTCACGGCAGAAATAGAATACTCTCATATAAACGATAAAAAAAATCCGACTTACGCTGCGTTTGATGATAAAAAAAGTTAGAATTAGTGCGCTGTATTTAGAGAGAGAGAGAGAGAGAGAGTATTCTTTATTGTACACCAAAAAACAAATAAACAGTGCGATACATTAAAAACAAAAAAGTACAATTGGCGGTCTTATCGCTAAGAGCGATCTCTTTCAGACAACCATCAGGTGGACAAGAATCATTTGGAAACGAACTACGCGCGGTGTACCATTCCAGTGAAATACATATATGTACATATATGTACACATACATATACACATACATATCTCCGTAAATATACATACAATTAATACAAAGTATTATAATATAATAATAATTATTAAAAATAAAATTTTACTGTAAAAATTTACTGTTTTCTTTTTCTATAAACAATTTATAAATACAGTCGTATTGAGAACATCTTCCTTTTATGAAAAGTGGCGGTCTACTTCTATGTTCTATTATTTATTTCTTCTAAATTGCAGTACCCAATTTGATGGGGTTTTTCAATTATAGAACAAATGACGAAACAAAGGATGGTTTTTATTTGTAATTTGTATGAAAAAAAATGCTCAATTATAATGGTGGTACGAGTATATAAAAAAAACTGTCTTCGTACCCTTAAATGGCTAATACAGTGGACTAATTTTGGAAGAAAATTGAAAGACGTGGGTAATGATGCCAGCGAAAGCTGGTATTTTTTTTTATTACTTAGATGGGTGGACGAGCTCACAGCCCACCTAGTTTTAAGTGGTTACTGGAGCCCGTAGACATCTACGACGTAAATGCGCCACCCACCTTGATAAGTTCTAAGGTCTCAAGTATTACAACGGCTGCCCCACCCTTCAAACCAAAACGAATAACTGCTTCACGGCAGAAATAGGCGGGGTGGTGGTACCTACCCGCGCGGACTCACAAGAGTTCCTACCACCGGGCTTAAATCTAAATCAACAACATTTATGATCTTTTCAACTTAATTTAAGCAATTGTGAGTAGTTTTTGAACGGCAGGTTTTTTGGTTATTGTCTCGATTGACTATTCTTTATACCTTCATGAGCTGGAGTTGCTGAGTGACGGCTTCGCTTCGCTTGGTCTGCGGGTGCTCGCCGCCTGCCACCAGGAAAGAGCCCAGGTACTGTCAACAAAACAACAAAACAGTTTAATAAATAAAACCAAGAAAAAACTGTACTTGTAATATTTTACAATCAAGCATCCTTCTTTTTCCAGAAACACAAGGTCCCCTATTGACTTCTCCGACGAAGAAAACTAAACTCTCAAACGTAAACTGTATATTATATATTTTTGTCATTTTTTATTACAAAGTTTCAATTTTAACCGACTTCAAAAGAAGAGGAGGTTCTCAAATCGACTGTATGTTTTTTTTTACGTTACGTCATAACTTTTGACTGGGTGAATCGATTTTGATGATTCTTTTTTTATTAGAAAGCTGACGCTTCCCGTGTGGTCTCATTTCAATTTAGCCCAGTTCTGGTATTGGTATCCATGAGAAAACCATATAAGCCGTAAATTTTCATGAAGTACCTGCGCGACAAATAGATGAATAACTCAATAACTCAATATCACGCCAACCGATTTCGATGATTATTGTTTTTAGTGTATATTCATTTGTTTTGTAATATCTTTTTTTTTCTATTTGAAGTCGGTTTTTGTTAAAACATGTCTATTTACAATTATTTCCGTTCAAATGCATTGACCGTTTTAAATTCACTTCCTCTGAGATTAGTTAACGCTAGTCCATTTAAATAATTATTGTAATTGTTTAACGATGTATACGCGTTCTGTGGCACTCTTTATGATTACACAATTTATTAGCCTATTTCTGCAACGAAGCTGGCATCTGCTACTTGGATGTTCTGCTATTTAGTTGTGTCAATAAAGTGATCACTAGCTAAAAAGAAAGCACGTGATAAGTATCATATCAATTATTAGATCATAGATATAAACGACAGTGTAATAATTGACATCTTGAAGTTAAATCTAAGAACAATTGTAAAATAATAAAATGATATATTGTGAAATTAAATACTTAAGTTTAAAAGAACTACAGTAAAATAGAAATAAAACAATTGATATATATTTTTTTATACCTATTCGTTGTTATCCTGACGGGTAATTTCAGCTACGCCCGGACGGATAGGTGAGCTCATGGGCTCAACCTGAGAGAATTTACTAACACTAGCCCTAGTAAGAGCAGTGCTTCGCGAAATCTATCACCGGATCGGATTCGCGACCTACTGAGAAGATCCGGTGAGAAACTCAGTGGGCTGTGTCTACGGGTTAATTCGTTCGCCGAACTCTTCGTCGTAATCCATATGGTTCGACGAGCACGGTGACCGGTGCTTGAGGGTCCTAAAAGCATCGAGGATAATTCATAAAACTTTATTTGATTTAAATTAATTTTGATTAGGTTTTAATTAGTCGGATTTCTTTTTTGTTAAAATTTGATAATATAAATTTTCAATTACAACAAATTGGTCATCCGGATTCCGTGATGTGAAAAATATCACGTGTTCCGACACACACACACAATATAATACACTTCCACCTAATTAAGATTAAAGCAATTATTGGACAATGAACATGATTGAACGGGGGTCCGACCCTTTAGGTATGTTCCCCATAAATTCTGTGGGGTTCCTCATTATTGAAGCATGAGGAATCCAAATTAGGCTGCGATCACAATATTCATTACACATTAATTGACAGTTTAAATTTTGCTTGTATCGTGTGTCGTCGATATTATGTTGAAAACAATTTGTGTGGACTTAACACGTTCGCGTGAGCAACGTCTTATAACATCGTGTTTTTAAAATATTAAATGGCGTAACTTCATATAATGGCCTCTAGATAATCATATTTATTTTGTCGGTGCTTCTTTGGACGTCTATTGTATGGGCAAATTCCTATGGCGCATCTACTTAGCGCCGCAACTCATTCGATTTTCAAAGCCTACACCGCCGCGTTCCCTAAAAAAAATCATCATATGATGTACGTATATTATTATGGCGGGACGTTTTTAGACGTTGCTAAAGTTTGTATGGGAAAAAGGTGCGCCACAGTAGCAATATTCAGAAATGAGGTTGTTCACGCGAACGTATAACTCATATTAATAACAATATTAATTAAAATTACTGTAGCACATTGCTTCACGTATTAAGTTGTAAATTGATATCGTTTTTATTCAAACCAAAAGTAGTTACGAATATCACGTATGAACTGAAGATAACATTTAAATCGACTCATAAAACTGTGAGAGCTTGTTAATTTTTGGATTCGAGACAAAACGTTCTCTCTCTCTCTCTTTCCCGCATCGTAGTTCTGTGTGTCAGTTTTGTACGTTGACGTCACTGTACGAATAATGCGGTTTCTGTCTATAGTATCGTTCATTCTCCCTCCTTCGACAAATAATAATACTTTAATCTTTATTGTTACCTTAAAAAGAATATTATGCTAATCAGAAAGGGGACAGGTTTATTCTTCACCGATTCCAAAGAATACACAGTCAATCGTCACTTAGGTAACTTAGTTTACTTATACTTAACTTTACTGGTGGTAGGACCTCTTGTGAGTCCGCACGGGCAGGTACCACCACCCAGCCTATTTCAGCCGTGAAACAGTAATGCGTTTCGGTTTGAAGGGTATAAATTATACTAAGACCTGAGAACTCATATCTCAAGGTGTTTTTATTTTATTTTATTGCTTAGATGAGTGGACGAGCTCACTGCCCACCTGGAATTAAGTGGTTACTGGAGCCCATAGATATCTACAATGCAAATGCGACACCCACTTTGAGATATAAGTTCTAAGGCTGCCCCATCCTTGAAACCGAAACGCATTACTGCTTTAAGGCAGAAAAAGGAAGGGTGGTGGTACCTACCCTGGTGGACTCACCAGAGGCCCTACTACCAATAAAGTGACGGCATTTACGTTATAGTTGTCTATGGGCTCCAGTAACCACTTAACAGCAGGTGGGCTGTGAGCTCGTCCACTTATATAAAAAAAAACTTAAAATCAAATTGTAAAGGTACTTTTAATTGTGTCTTAAAATTAATTATTTAATTTAAATACATTAAAACACGTCCTTACGTTTGCACAAGCACCGTGCTCCCTTCGTTCGTAGGGAATGAAAATGTTTAATGGTTCACGATTTACGACTGCCATTTCGTTTTTAATCTCGAATATACATATGATGGACATCTGCTAAGTAACTGCCCACGTAATGAATACGTTCGTACGTAAATTTCTCAGTTATGTTGAGAATTCAATAAAAGAGTTGGCTAATTTATTCGTGGCCTCGCCTTCGTATTGAGTAGTTTTTATTTTAATTTTTTTTATTGCTTTGATGGGTGGACGAGCTCTCAGCCCACCTAGCGTTAAGTGGGTACTGGAGCCCATAGACATCCACAACGAAAATGCGCAACCCACCTTGAGATATAAGTTCTAAGGTCTTAAGTATAGTTATAACGGCAGCCCCGCCTTTCAAACCGAAACGCATAGCTGCTTCACGGCAGAAATAGGCAGGGTGGTGGTATCCACCCCCGCGGATTCACAACACCAGTAATTACGCAAATTATAATTTTGCTGGTTTCATTTTTATTAGGTACACGATGTTATTCCTTCGCCGTGGAACTCAATCGTGAACATTTGTTGAGTACGTATTTCATTAGAAAAATCGGTACCCGCCTGAGATTCGAACACCGGTGCATCGCTCAACACGAATGCACCGGACGACTTATCCGTTAGGCCACGACGACTTCAACGTTTGCGGAACCCATAGATATTAGTGATATTATCCATCTTGATATTGTCCTATGCGTCTAACCTTGATTCTAAGTTAGACCAGCTTAAAAATTACATTCATCCAGCCTATTTCTGCTGTGAAGCAGTCGATGGTCGTTAGGCAAAACGGATTGAGACTTCGACCTCATGTCTCAAAGCGGATGTCGGTATCATCGGATGTCGAGATGTCGGTATCGGTATGTATAATCCTATAGTGAATCCCGCTTAGTATGTTCTTAATCTTTTACTTTTTTTTTGCTTATGAAAAATAAAAATTTTGTTAGTTTTGTTTTGTTAATACAAATTGTAGTACTTCTATTGTTTGTTTACTTGAACAAGAAAATTGTTGGACCATTTTGTGAAACGTACCCAGAAACTTATTGAGATACAGCTAGCGCCATCTATCAGGGGGAGTAAAAACTAAAACGAATTGTTTCCAATGCGACCTATTAAAGCAGAAGCAGCGATTGCGTATAATGAACTACAGATGTCGCTATTCTTAGAATTTTTGCTTTTCATTTAACAAATACGTTTATTAGTAATTAATCTCACAATTCATAAACGAACAACATAAAATTTATTGTAACTTGATATAGAAAAAAATTATTCCTCGTTCGAATTTATAACGACAAAACAATAAAACATAAAAAAAAGATATCTAAAATCTTGAGATTCATTTCGTTCGTATTTTTTTAACTTTTTGCTCAACAATAAATTAAATGTTCGACAGGAAAGTACAAGGAAGATAATTTGTTCCGAAAAAGTTGAGAAAAGTTATTCTATTAAAGGCAAATTCATAATCTGCCTCGTTATAAGCTTACACAAAAAAAAGTTAAAGAACATCGCGCAATAATTTTATTCAACAACCCGTTAACTGGAGTTCTCTAACAAAAGTTATAAATTAAGCAACACCGAATAATAAAAATAGATCATAAGAATCTGACCTAAATTAGAAAAATCCTTGAGCGTTTATCTATACTATTTTAATATTATAAAGCTGAAGAGTTTGTTTGTTTGAACGTGCTAATCTCAGGAACTACTGGTCCGATTTGAAAAGTTCTTTCAGTGTTAGATAGACCATAGGAAGGCTATATAAAATCACGCTAAGACCAATACAAGCGGAGCACCAATAAAGAATGTTTCAAAATCGGGTTTTTTGCCTTTTTGAGAGCTTCCGCTGTGTGCGCTGCAGAAACGGTTAAGTTTCGCTAAAATTATGTATGACAGAATTGTTAGAAAACATATAAAAAAAATCCGCGACAGCATATGTCTATATGTTGAAGTTGGCTCACTATAACGTGTTTTATGCTAACCAAATTTGTTCTAAAATAAAGC